GCACACACAAAAACCACAATACTCCAACTTCAGGTCATGGTTGTGCGTCTTCAGGTTGTTTCTGACTTATGGCAAGATAACTCAGTCAGTTTTCATAGCAATGTGGAAATTAAAACTCTGATTGGATCGGCAGCATCCTAGTCCAATGATCAATACCAACTGCAAGAGCGAATAGATTGACCAAACAGTTATGGTTCCCTGGATGCCTTCAGCAGAGGAATAGCCATTCTGCAATCCTCAGGTGGAAATAGTCTAAATTTTCTGAACACCTCAGGATGACATTTTAAAATACAAACAGTGGGATATTCACACATTCTTTAGTCTTCTGATTTCTTGATTCAACAAAGTCTCTTTCCCCTTCTCTTCCTGGGCTCACAATGAGCCTCTGAGCCATGTGCTGTCCTTTATATGGCTACTGTGCTGAAACCCGCCCCTCCCCTCCCAAAAACTTCTCCCCTCATTGCCTGGGAGGCAAGCATCCCAGCATGCAAGCTGCTTGCCTCCAAATGCTGAGTCACTTCCGACTCACTTCCTGAGTTGGAAGAAAAATGGCGAGAGAAGCTTCGGAAGGGCAAAGGGACTTCTGGTTTTCTTAAAAACTTCAAAATCGCTTCAAAAAGGCAATTTTTCTGACTTTATTCCAAATTACGAACATTCTGATGGTACCTAACCATGCCTAATAAGCAGACTCAGAACCTTACTAAGTTCAACATAGTTGGAGATTATTGGGTTTGATATATCTCTTCCTGCCTCCCTTCTTGTTTAACTTCCCTATTGCACATCTCTAATTGATACCTGCTTACTGGCACAACCTGGGGATCACAACCAGACACAGTGAAGACATCTGCCCTTGTGCTATGCTACTCTGCTGCTGACTATGCATGCCCAGTGTGGAACACATCTCACCACACTAAAACAGTGGATGTGACTCTTAATGAGAAATTCCACATTATCACGGGGTGTCTGCGCCCTACACCACTGGAGAAATTACACTGCTTAGCCGGTATTGCACCACCTGACATCTGCCGGGAAGTAGCAGACAATAGTGAAAGGACCAAGGCAGAGACATCTCCAGCTCATCCCTTGTTTGGGCATCAGCCAGCACGTCAATGACTTAAATCAAGAAATAGTTTTCTAGGATCTACAGAGACACTCGCTGGAACACCTCAGCAAGCGAGAGTCCAAAAGTGGCAGGCTCAAACCCAGAGACTCAACCAATGGCTGATACCCAATGAGAGACTCCCCCTGGGCACACAGAAAACTGGGTGACTTGGAAGGCGCTGAACAGACTGCACTCTGGCACAACGAGATGCAGAGCCAACCATAAGAAATGGGGCTACAAAGTGGAATCCACAACATGCGAGTTTGGAGAAGAGCAAACTACAAACCACCTGCTGCAATGCAACCTGAGCCCTGCTACATGCACAATGGAGGACCTTCTTGCAGTAACACCAGAAGCACTCCAAGTGGCCAGGTACTGGTCAAAGGACATCTAATCAACTACCAAGCTTGCAAACTCTGTGTCTTTTGTATGTTTGTTTGTTTGTTCTGTCAAAAATGTAATACAACTGTTCGGTTGCCTGACATGATAAATAAATAAATAAATAAATAAATAAATAAAGACCTCTCACCACACAAACTAATCACATGGTGAGAGGTATTAACATGATATAACAGAAGGTCAAGAATAAAAGTGGTAATATTAAAAAATAAAGTAAAGTTAAAGACATGTTTTAAATCAAACATAACACCAAAATACAATTTAAAGAATATCCCTGTAGACCAGAGGTGTCAAACTTATAGCTCTCCAGATGTTTGGGCTTCCAAATCCCAGAAGCCTAGGCAGTTTGTCCAATGGTCATGAATTCTGGGAGCTGAAGTCCAATCACCTGGAGGGCCACAAGTTGAAACCACTGCTGTAGAATGTTAAGATAAAGTAACAAGTTTGCACTACTGAACCTAATCAAACATGAACCCAAAGAACTACCAGGGAAAAATGCAAAAAGACTCATATTTGTAGCTAAAAAGTTCCTTATTGGTTGACTGATGATATCTTTCAAATGGTTAAGGACAGATGACAAGTGAAAGCAATGACTGAGTAGACTGAGGCTATTGTACTCTGCATATATAAGGAGATTATTGGGAAATATGGTCCATGAGGTCACAAAGAGTCGGAGACGACTGAACGAATGAACAACAAAGGTAACAAGGGAGAGCAAAACATAAATACCTTGACTCAGTGAAGGAAGATTTGAGCAAACCTGCTAAGAACAGTGTGCCTTGGAGATCTCTCGACCATGGGGTTCCCATAAGTGGAAGCCCATACATAACAACAGCAAAATTTATTACCCTATCTTCTTGGAAGTCTTCTGCCTAAAATGGACTCATGATGTTATTTGTGCATGACATTGTTATTGGTTATATGTTATATTGGTGTTATAGAATAAACCATGTTTATACAAATATCTGGGCAATATCTTGGTCGAGGTGGGCCCTTTAGAACTTGCCATGCTGTGCAAGTTCCATCTTTTTTCATGCTTTTTCCAAACTCTGGAAACTTTAAATTGTCTTTTACTTTTAGATCAACACTTTTTAGTCAGCATTTGATCAAGGCTAAGTATATCAAAACGGGTTAAATATTAATCAAAATGTGAGGGCATGACATAAGGCTTATGCCCTATGTAGGTCTTCACTAAGTGTATTGAATGTACATTGAGGATGGAGACCATGCCACTTTCTTTATCATTACTTCCATTACTCTCTATGTGTGGAAGGTGACACTATGAAAAAGAGAGCCTCTGTCATCTATGAAGACAGACTACAATTTGGCAATCTTCAAAGATACAGGAACTGATTCTCTGGTTCAGAAACTCCAGATGTAGGTGGTGAAAGGATAAAAGAGGAGACAGAATAAGCACACTCGACACAGTAAACAAAGTGCATAGGCTCCACTTGCTATTGATTGTTTTGATTTGGACATCATATAATAAATGGATGGATGGATGGATGGAACTCTACACTCCGGATAAGGCTTTGCCCTAAGGTATGGAAAAAGCAATCTGGCATTTTGCTATTTCTGATAAGTCAAATTACTATACATCACTAAATCTAAACCTATTTATTGCAATACAGTAAAAGTCTGACCTTGCTGAATCACATGTTCCTCTGTTTCCACCTTTCCAAACCAGGGCCTCACAATATCTCAGCTTATGGCAAGTTATACTAAATAGAGCTTTAACTGGTCTTTTTAAAAAGCAGGAAGTGACAAGTGGGTAACTATAAATTTCTTTACTTAAAAGGGGACATTTATATCCTTAAACAGACCCCAGGTCACATTTTATTCAAATGGCAAATTGTGTACCCTGGAGGTTTTTGAGCACACAACTTGTTATTTACTGAGAATGAGAGAAGGATTAGAAGAAGGGCCCTTCAACACAGCAATTTAACCCAGAATATCAAGGCAGATAATTCACAATATTGGCTTTGTACTGGGTTATCAGAGTCCACACTGCCATATAATCCAGTTCAATGTGGATTTTATACATCTGTGTCGAAGGGGTCAAAGTTTTTGGGGAACTAAAGGTTAAAGTGATGGCTTTGCTCTTGTAGAAAAGATAAACTTTGTATGATCACCCACCTAGGAAATAAGAACAATCACAAGGTGTGTGTTTTTTTTTTTTCATTTTCAAGTGAAAGGAGATTTTTAAATATATATATTATTTTGTATACATGACATACAGAATGCAAAGAAAATATACATAATACAAATATGTAATTCCATCGAACCCACCCACCCACTTCCCCCACCCATGAACCACCACTCTTGACTTCCAAAAGCACTCAGTGCAAAACTTAACATCTCATAAAAAATGACCTTTATCTTTGCATTAATAAATTCCCCTTGCAACTACTTTAAATTCTACTTTTGTTTTCTTTTCTAAATATCCAAATGCAATCCTCCATTTTCTAGCAAAATATTCATTATTCTCTCCCCGAATACTATTGGAAAGCTTAGCCATCTGAATATGCTCTAATAATTTTCCTCTTCATTCCTTTATAAGCAATTCTTTTTTCCCCCTTCCATGATTTTGCTATTGTTAATCTCACGACAACAAAATTGTGTTGGCAAATTTCTACATCGTCTTTACTAGTTCTTTAACACAACATACCTAGGAGACACATTTCTGGGTTTTTCTTAACCTTTTTAGTAATCGTTTTATTTGTTTCTTTAGTTATTTTGTTGAGGATGCAAAATGCAGAAAGGTGCCTTCTTCCATGCTTGGTGTACTTGTAGATTGGTACAAACGTTTGGAAAAGGGTAATTTTAAAAAGAATGTCTTGAGATAACATTCCCCCATTGAGAAAATAGTCAATGGCCACAAGATTTTGTGCAAGTGGGATCTTCCTTTTGCAGGAAAGTGTTTTATCAAAATATTTTGTGGGAAGCCTTTGTGCCACACATAAGATGTTTTGCAAAATAATAAGTTGCTTTCTGTCAAATGATTTCATTTTGAAATAAAAAACAAAATGAAGAAAAAATAGAAAATGTACAAAGACTGACAGGAAAAAATGTGAAATTATTAATTCTTGCATGTAAAAATGAACTAAGTCAATATTTCACATTCTTATCACCTACTTGTGTTGCCGAATCTTTGGATGTTAAAATGAACTGAGGAGTCTGTAGAAATCCTCTTGAGAGAAAGCACCCAGAACATGCATTACTTTTCATTCTTCTCTTTATTTATATTGTGCTGTGTTTTACCTAACCTCCCAATATTCTGAGTACCATTGTATTCAAAATCAAACAGTAGTAAATTTCATTTGTAGATTGTACTGTGGGTAGCTTTGATTTCATTTGGAAGTTCCCCTGTGAATGCTGCCTTCCTTCTGAAATGTTTTCTGTGGTGCCCAATGAAGTGTTTCATTGCAATAACGAATAAGGTGTGTCATAAGCTTTTCCCTTGGAGCAATCATGATGCTGTCAAGCATTTCAAGTGAGACCTGCCCAGAAGTTTGGGTGTGGAAATTCACAGTGTTATACAGCATCTTCAGTTCTAACTTGTGAGGAAGCCAAAGGATCCTCCAAAGCCTGGCTGAAAGAACATCTGTGCGCAGTGTCTTTTTAGAGGCACTGCCATAAGGGAGGGAGGGAAGGGCTCAACAGTCTGGACTGTTATTGTCCTTCTCTCGGAATTAAGAGACAACACATGCAATGGACTGGCATCCGTACAGAACAGCCGCTGTGCTGTTCATTTTCATGGTAAGAAGGATTTTAGAAGTCTTGTTTGTAAAATAGTGTTACATTTGAGCTGGCATTTTCTACAGAAGTGATGCTTGGTGCTGCTTTCTGCCTAAAATAAGACTGGGTGCCTCGGACACTGGACAGTTCTTGAAGGAAGGATTGTTAATGTTGAAGTATCACCTTGGAAATTAATTGGGATTGTAGAAGGAGCACTTCTGTACTTTACTAACTTGCAAAACCCATTGAGTATGGGTAGATTTACTTTGAAGTAAACAAGGAAAGGGTCGAAATGTTTCATCTAAATATCAACTCTTTTAATATGATCAATCTTCTTTGTCCATATGTTGTTTGAAATGTAAAAGATGAGATCTGTTTGTATAGCTATTAATGCCTTTTTACTAACATGCCTCCTTTATTTGGAAAGCAAATACATCACGAAGATGGTGTAATTTGATATTTATTTTAGGCTGTCTTAAACTTGGGCCTGGAAAAATGAAGAAAATTGGTGAGATCTTTACAGCTGTTAAATAGGAATTTTCAAATACAAAACAGCAGTCCTGAGAAGATCCTGAATGTTGATTTTTAGAAATGTGTAGGCAGGAGAAGGTTTTCTTACAAGCATTAAAAACACAATGTTTCAAATTTCTTCAAAGAGAGAAAGTGGTATTTGTGGTAAGATGTGACAACTGTGATATGAACTCCTCCTGATGCATTCAAATATGGATTGAGATTGCAAAGAATCACAGGCCCTTTATAAAACAATTGTTTTCATACAATCCTTTTGGCCATAGACTACTTTTTTTCAGGATTTATAGAAGCCTCTGAACCTTAAATCCAAAATCCACAGAAATAGAATGTTATGCAAGACTGTATAAGACCTTTCTTAGGCCAACAAAAGGAGTACAAAAATGGATGCAATCTTTTTGGGTCTCCGGTTATCTTCATCAGGCAATACATTTTGGGAATTTCTCAGGAATGGAAAGGGACCAGACTGGCTTGATTTGAAGTCAGGAAGTCTACAGACTTTTAGTCTTAAATTGAAATGAAGGAGGAAAGGTATACATATATTAGAAAAAGGTTTTAGCAGCACAATGGGCAACCACTATACATCAGTGGGTTGCTGTTGCCTTTGCCATAAACCAATAAGGATTGTTGATGGAACATCTTGTGATGTGATGGTTTTGGAGTCAATCTGGGATATCTTCAATGAATGCTGAAAAGCAAGAACAAGGTTTCTGAAAGCTTTTTTAAAGAAAAGCTGTGAAATCATAACTGGCTCCGCTGGTGTCTTCATTAGGGGGAAACAGAAAGAAACCAGTTTAGCAACAAAATTGTTGATTATTGTTTTATATGCTGAACTGGGTTGGGTTTTTTTGAGGATAGTAAAATAATCCTTTATTGTGGCTTCTCACATGAGATGATTTATCATGATGAGATCCTGTGATTTGTTGCTCAAATGAATTAAGGAAAGTCTGATTTACCAAATTACCTTCTATAAAGTAGAACTAAACTATGAGAGCAGTTAACAAGTAAATCATAATCAGGTTGGCAAAAAGCAAAGGAACAAATCTGTACTTGTATGTTTCTTCACAGCCTGGAATGTTGCTCAGTCTTTTAAAAATTGAGACTAGGCTGTTTACACGCCATTCTCATTATTATTTGCATTCCTAAGATCTGTTTAAATCAGATGTACATTTCCTATTGCTGAGATTTAAATACAAAGCTTGATGTGCTAGATGTACCACTTTGTCAATTGTATTCAAAGAGAAACCACACGTGCAAATTTTGTTTAGCAATCCCTTCAGGAATTGGTTGTGACTCATATTATAAAAAGGTGACATATATACATAAGCCTGGATCTATGCAACTGTGTGATACAGGGATCCTCAAACTGCGGCCCTCCAGCTGTTTGAGCCTTCAACTCCCAGAATTCCTGACAATTGAACAAGCACGCTAGGGCTTCTGGGAGTTGGAGGCCCAAACAGCTGGAGGGCCGCAGTTTGAGGATATCTGGTGTAATGAATTCCATAAGCTCAACATGGTTGTGGTCTTATGTTTTTGGAATTCAACCCCTTTTGGACTCTCTGAGAACTTTCCAATGTAGTTTGTAATCTTGCATTGTGGCAGGAGGATGTCCAAGGTTTGAAGGGGGAGACAGTGAAGTCACTGGGCATGGCCAAATTCTTCTTCATATTTGGCCATGCCCAAAAGTGATAGTGTGTGAGGATTCCAAAAATAGGAGCCATATTATATTTCAGAGAAATATGGTGGGGGAAGGAGGCTTTCACAAGCATATCTTCCCAATGCCATACAATCTTCCCCCAGGCCCGTAGCCAGGATTTTGTTTCGGGGAGGCTGAGTTTGGTTCAGGGGGCTGAGTCTGAGTGAAAGAGGGTCTACCCTAGCAAACCTTTTGTATCGTTACCCCAATACCCTCATGCATATGGGATATATTGAACATGGTGATCAGATCATGATATGAATAAACATAACAGTTTAAATAATGTACCAGTAAGGCCTTCTCGCAGACCACCATCAGAATTTGGGGGGGAGGGCTGAAGCCTGTCTCCCCCAAAACATGCCTGTCTCCCCCAAAACAACACAATGAAATATATCAGCATCCGTTTATTATATTCTGCAAAGTATTCACCTTTTCTGTTACACTCAATGGCCAGTGTTTTATGTTACATACAGGATCAACTCATAATAGTATGTACAGTATTATTTATAGCCATGTAAGGAACTTCTACACTGACCATATAATGCATTTTGAAGCTGACTCAAGGCCATGGTGGCCACAAAATCTCACTGCCAATGTGTACTGCAGGGCACAATTTTAAAAAGTCTCAAGAAAGTCTCTGATCAGCCAAAAATGCACTGAAACAGATGCCAGTGTTTCCTAGATCCAGGGCAAATGTACAGTGCATTATAGACAGCAGCCCCTCCTGAAGCAGAGTAAATAATCTGGAAAGGGGATTCTGAAAGACACCCCAAGGGTTGATACAGGAGGCTGATCAACTCCCTGTGAGGGGCAACTGATTACTTCTGCTCTTAACCCTCATTTTCCCCTTTTTTTCATCCACATACCTCTGGTGCACTGGTACACATCTCTTTGGGAAATAGAGAAGGGACTGAAAAGCAGTTTGAATTCAGGTCCCATATTCAATGTAATCACCTCCCTGGCCTCAAACCAGTTCTAAGCATGGCAATCTAATCACCTCTGCAGTGAAACTAGTTACTCCTAAACTGGTTTCAAACTAGACTGTAGTGTCAGTGGAGAAGCACTCTTCATCTGTTTCAGCATTAGAAACAAACTAATGCTGAAGGACATCCTATAAAACAGGGGTCCTCAAACTAAGGCCTGGGGGCCAGGTACAGCCCTCCAAGGTCATTTACCCAGCCCTCGCTCAGGATCAACCTAAGTCTGAAATGATTTGAAAGCACACAACAACAACAATTCTATCTCATCAGCCAAAAGCAGGCCCACACTTCCCATTGAAATACTAATAAGTTTATATTTGTTTAAAATGTTCTTAATTTTAATTATTGTATTGTTTTAAAGTGGGGGGTTTTTTGGCACTATAAATAAGATATGTGCAGAGTGCATAGGAATTCTTTTTTTTTTTTCAAATTATAATCTGGCCCTCCAGCAGTTTGGGGGACTTTGACCTGGCCCTCTGTTTAAGGATCCCTGCTATAGAACATTTGAAATTAATGGAGAAAATAGATTTTTACTGTAAACTTTTGCAGACTCTGGATACATCAGACTGTATCTGATGAAGTGAATTGGGATCCACAAAAAACTTGTGCTTGAAATGGTTTTTTCTGTTAATCTCAAAGGTTAAGAGTATTCCCTTATATCTTTTGATTCTGTGGTTCATTTAAGAAAACATAATTGTCCCAAGTTTGGGCATGTGGTAGGTTGAGCCAGCAATTTTATTCAAGATTTGGCAGGACTGCAGGACATGTTTCCTCATCTGCCTGGATTGTTCAACACCTGCTGGATCCAAAAATACTCCTTGCAAAAACCTGAATTATATGGTTAAGCTGTGTTCATGATACTTGTACAGGCTTGCTTCTGGAAGGCAATGAATGCAGCATGATCTTTCTCTTGCCACCTGCCTTGTGAGAACTAGATTCTTATTACCATTTCCACTTGGCCAAAATGTTTTTAGTTTCACCTGAGCACCTGCATTTTCCCATGTAAATGTGAAAACAAAAAGACTAAATTTTCTGGATATGGGTTTTATAGCAAATTGAAAGAACTAAATATTCAGTTGCAGAATTATGCATTAAAGACAAGAATGTAATCATAATGCAACAGAGTTAAGTACAACTCAAGCCTTCTAAACGTATGGAACAGACTAGACTGAGCCATATATAGCCCCATCTCTAGTGTATGGAAAGGTTTATTTGGCATGTAAATTGATGCCTTTTCCCTCCAGAATAATTTATACAATGCATCAAAATGGCTTATTTAAATGCAAAGCATGCATAAGTTCGTCATAGCAAGAATTTCGGCTGTGGGGTTTGCAAAAATGGCAGGCTTTACAAGTATGGGAATGTGAAACACAGTATGCTTGTGATCAAATGAACAAGTTAATGTATTGTTTACAGGAACTTAAGGATGCTTGCATTTTTATTTTCTTTTTTATTGCGACTCAAGACACCTACAACATCTATGGGAAGAATATTGGGCATGTACCACCATTTTGTTTAAGTAAAATCATCCTGGCTTTCTGAAGTTTGTGCTGAGTGCTGTACCTGTTAACTTGAATTGATGTGACAGATTTTGGTCATTGGTAACAGTGAAATGTGTGGGCAGATAGGTATTCCATGGTCTAAATTTTTTAAATGAAACCAAAAATCACTGATGAATTTATTTTCTGGAATGCAGGATTTGTCCTGTAGTGAGTTCATGAGGCCTGGCTGTATCAAATAAGGTAATTCTGCTGCCTGTGAACCGAATCATTAATAATTTACACTTCACCTAAAAGGACTAGATAGCCCTTGTGGTC